CAAACCTATAAATCTTAGTTTGGATAGATAAGAAATTTCTACTTAATAAAATGGTTATTCACAAGTTTGGATGGAGATCAAGAAAGAAAAGGGCCATATAGAGGAACTAGAGAAACAAGTCGCGGCACATCATCTCTACAACTTGAAGTTTGGGGTTAAATGAACTTTCAATGAATAACTTTTTGACTGGAAATTCCATATGGGGCTATTTCCTGCACTTTTCACCTTGTTTGCATTACTAGTGCAAGCTGAGAAAGAAACATATATAATGTCCCTAAACATTTGCTTGCTCAATACTAAGTGAATACTCATATCAACATAATCTCATGTCGCGTTATTAACGAAGTATGGAAAGGACGCGCCGTGGCAGATTTGATGCGCCACTTCGACTCTGAAAATGGCGCCATTTCAAGCGAATTGATCTGGTTTTTTTCTATTGCACAGTTCTTTATGAATGAAATTACTAAGAAAGAAGTGTTTCGAATTGAAAGTGATGTCTCGTCACGCATTAGCACTGCTCAGGTAAGAAACAGTTCCATCTTTTTCCAAGTTTTTTTCTCGTTTAATTTGTGGTTCCAGGTTATTATTTCTCTCAGTAGTGCTGTTCGCCAATTAATCGACAACTCACTCGACGCGTCAGCACAGTGCATTGGTAACTTTTGCTTTTGATTCATTACAAAGCTATCTAAAGTTCTTCGAATGACGTGATTGCAGAAATTCGAGTTAAAAACAATGGGTTCGAAAGTGTGGAAGTCATCGACGATGGTACAGGCATCGATGAAGAGAGTTTCCAATCTCTTTGTGAGTTCCAATAACATGTTACTCTTGCTCTGAAGAATTTTCTTCTCAAGTGCACGCAGTTTGTACACGCATACCAGCTAGTCAGCGATATATGGGTACTACGAATTACGCTGCACTCTGATTTATGATCGGTTATATTAAGCTGGTAAGACGTACGGAGAAGAACTAGACTCTCATGAACCATCACTATTGGCTGTCAATAACGTTCGAAGCGGTTGTTTTCTGCGGCGCTTTTAATTAGGGAGGATCTCCTCCTTTTGCCAAAAAGTAAAACGTTGGAAGGGAAGTGAAAGTGCCAATAGCAAGCGTTTTGCAATTAATAAGCGCTCCCCACTCCCTTTCGTCGCAAACTTTTTCAAACTAAGTGTCGATGAAACGATCTACGCTGCACCTTGACTTATGATCGGTTATTCTAAACTGGTAAGACGTACGGAGCCACTCCAATTCCTCTACCCAAGGACCATGCAGAATTCGCTGGATTTTCTTGAGATTTTAACATAATGAAGGCGATCCATTCCGTAACAACTTTCGTGGA